TCCAATGCAACAATAGGGCTATAATAATGAACATTACTACTCTTTGCATACATATATCTTGAAGGTAAATAGTTGAAATTTATTATACTAAAAAAAGGAATAAACGCGAACGCAAATTTTACAAGTAAAAATTACTAAATATATAAATATAAAATTGTTAGTAAAATAGCATTGCACTTAAAGCGCTATTCTTCTGCAGTTTTTTTTTTTTTTTTTCATATTTATCATGCAACGCGATTGCGCTTTAACGGTATAGACAGACTAATTGTAGAAATTTTCCGCACATAAGAGGGAATTTCAGCGAGCGGCAGAGGAAAACGAGAGAAGGGAGCGCTCTCTTTTAATACATCCACTATATCTCCCGAGATTGGAATGTGCTCTGGCCAGTCATTTTAACGCGATTTAAAAATTAACTCGCACGAGAGCGAGAGCCATTTTCGTCCACTTTTGGGAGAGAAGTAATATCCGCGCGCGGAATATCATTCACACGCTCGAAGAGAGCAGACAGTCTCTCTCTCTCTCTCGTTTCGTCGTGTACAAGGAGGCGGCAATAAACGTTTTTAATTACGGTACGGCGACAGAGCGCTTTGAGATCGCAACATGAAAGCATAGGGAGAGGGCAGGGAAGCTCGAAGAGCAGGACGGTGCACGACGACGGAAGAGAGAGCGCGCGTTTCGCGGAAAACGTATTTTCGTTCACGCGGCCGCACGCGGAAAAGCGCTTTTCGTGCGCGCCGACCGACGTCTGGCGCCGCCGCGACGCCTCGTCGCGATGTACCGTGACGTACGAACAAATGCGCCCGATTTATAATTCTCCCTTGGAGAGAAAGAGAGAAGAGAACGGAGTAAATGGCGAAGCGCGAAATATATCTCTCTTCTATGGAATATTATACTTTCGCGGTCGCTCGCTCGTCGTCGTCGATTAAGCCTCGAGAATTTTCAGCACCGCGCGAGATCTCGGAGGGAGAGTCGCGTCGCGTCTCTCGCGTAATAATCGTACGGTTGTGGGGAAATTATATGTTTGTGTATAGGAAACACACACGTGTGGTAATAGGCGACGTGTCCCGCACGAATCACTACAATTGAGCACGAATTAGGTAAAAAGAAAAAAAGCTTGCCCAATTATCGGTACTATTACTTTCTACCATAATTGCGTCGCGACATGAAACCCAGAGACCTTGAAACTTAGTTAGAGAGCCGTTTCGTGTACAGAAAATATATTGTTTTCGCCCTTCTCCGCTAGATTATTTCAAATTATAATTATAATTTTTTTTTAGAGATTTTTTGTATCAACTTTAACACAGTTTTTTCTTTCCCATATAAACTGAAAAAAGCTTTCTGTCGCGAATATTATTTGTTTTTAGCACGTGTCCAATTTCTCGATTGTCATTCAGCTAAACTACGGTGAAGGCTGGCTGCCACGTAAGCGCGAAATTCTGTTTTGCCGCATATTATGTCGCGATTTCGTCATCGTAAACGAAAGCGGACACTAGTCGTTTTTCAACGTCCGGTCCAGCGATTCTGCTGTAGACCGTCGTGAAGCCGGTTCGAATTTCTAGCATCTCTGGTTTCGTCTTAGGACGCCGCTTACTTAGCATACACGGCGGTCACAAAGGATTCCCTTCCAGGAAGGTGCTTCGAAAACGTCCGGCCCATCTTTTTTATCTCTTTTCCGCGCATATACCCCGGTCTGGCATACCTCGCTTCCTCGTTACCTCATCGCCGAGAACCCTAATTAGACCCGGTGCGAATCTCCATATTCGACTTTCTCGCGAAATATGTAATCGCGTATTGCGACATTGGAAACAGAAAAAGAGATCGAGAGAGACAAAGAACAAGATTATTCGTTTTAGGTAGAAAGATTTTTTGTATTACACGTGCAGGCAAAGTGGCACTTTGTGTGCGTGTTTTCTGTGCGGAAAGCGGCCGATTTCCCACGCCGCCATCAACTTTCCGCACTTGATACACAATATACTATTTAATGCTTTAAATCGCGTTGAAACTTTCATTGTTGAGATATGTTCTCTTCAAGGAAATTTAACTCTGGCTAATTATCTAAGTTTCTTTTTCCTTATGCAGTTATAATGAAATATCAAAGGAGCGAGAGAGTCTAAATTACCACTCTTAATTATTTTTACACTAAACGCACTATTATTAGAGATTGACGACTAATTGCTTATTTATCGAATTGCTTTGAGAAATATTAATCATGTGCACCTTCCATGTTTTCTACACGCCAGTACGAAGGAATGCATTTGCGAGTAAGCTGTCGCTTTTATAATCGGGTTAATTACGATATAATAATAATAACAGAGTCATAACGAGCGATTTTATCGGTAAATCATTGGCGTCGTTCCGCCTCGAAAATTTTCGTTCGTGCATCTTACGTAATTAAGCGCATAAAACGCACGGTGCAATAACAGCAATTAATTACGGCGATCCGGACCGCCGTTGTCTTCCCTCGGTGGAACAAGATTAAGTATGCACAGCAGACAGATTTAAGTAGGACATGTTATTAATTCTATAACTGTTGGAGCTATGCTTAGCCCATTTTATCATCAGAAGTGACAGTAGAAATTGCAAGAAAGTTTCATTAAGTAGAAATCATTATATTGAAGATTAAGAATTATTATATGCAAAAAAATACAATTTTTTTCAATCGCTCCCATATACGCGATCGCTAAAATTATTAGAATATAATTAATAATTGCGCAGCGATGCGTCAATTATAACTAAAGTTCGTATATCTTGCATCTGATACCGCTCTATCCTTTCATGCCTCTTTCATTTAACGTCTGCCATCACGACGGCAATTTGTAGCCCCGAGTGGAGAGACACAGCGTGGAAGGACGATTCGTAAACGGGAACAATAGGGCAACGCGAATAGCTGGGAATTCCTGTTGGATTCGCGCGCGGAATCGTAAACGATCGCGCGAGTGTAGCCAAAGAGGGTGACTTTGGTAAATTGCACTCTCTTTCTCTCTTTCTCTCGAATGCTTTGGAATGCTGTCGTCGCCGCTGCAACAAGAAGAAAGAAATCTGATTGCCGAGGCGGCGGAGAGATTCTCGACGCGAAAGTTCTCTCGCGAACCGAAGAAGGAAAGAAGGATTCGAAGATAGAAGAGCCGCGAGTCCTTGGTGGGAGCTCTCTCTCTCGCAGAAAGCAAAGGGAGAAAGTGTGAAAGGGAGCGAGAGCTCCCGAAAAGACGAAAGGACGCGGGAGCGAAGGAGGAGAAAACTAGTAGTAGAAGAACCAGTTAGTAGTAGAACACCACGGTTGCGTGCAACGACAGCGGTGCAAAAGTGTTGTATCGTGTCGAAAGCGGCCAATTTCTTTCCCGAATCAATGCGTTCCATATAAGAACAAATTGCATAGCGAAATTATAAAACGTTATTTGCACCAATGTTAATCTCCAAAGAGCGCCGAACTCGGAATGATGAATCTTTGCGCTTTAAAGGTGTAAATATACTTGGGAAAAGACCTGATCAAAGCGGAATGATAGTAAATAAAGTCGAGAGGAGAAGAGGAGTAAAATTAATAATTTTTTGATTAAACGCAAATGATTACTCGATATTTTTTTTTCACGTAAATTTGTGTATATTTATTTGATAGAATGTTGCCACACGTGTAAAGAAAAAACCAACGCATGCATTTGCGGTACGCAACATCGTTTCGTCGATTATCTGAGGGCAGTTGTGACCCTGCTTCGTGGAAACGAGTTCAGCAGGTGGGGTCACGAACTCAGACACGCGATCGCGCGTTGCAGCGAATGTTCCTCTCTTTCGATCGCCAGCTGCCGGCATTATTTCGCCCTTCTCATCTTGTACCTCCGTATCGATCGTCACCCCATTCAGACAGGCGACCGCACAGCTGTCGTACTCCACATTTTTGCAGATAGCGAAAACGGAAGCGGAGTAATTGACGGATTAAAAATCCGTTTCTCGCTTCCGAGTGCTTTAAACAATTTTTCACTCTTTTATTTATTATTATTGTCGGGAAAATATAATTGTCAAGATTTACAATTTTTTAATCTTCTATACCTTTATTAAAACGAGAACTTTAAAAATTTAAATGACATTTGCGAATCGGAAATGTTTTTGAATGATACAATTCTTTTCAATATTAAAATGTACAAATGTTATATAGGCGATCTGAGAAGACAAAATTGGCGGCTTGTTCGAGAAAAGAGAAAGAGGCGATCTCACGCACTATAAATTGTTATTTGCGGCATAAATCGTAGCTGCCGCCGCAGCCGGTGAGCGGCCTTGGCCCGCGTGGACTTTTGCAGAGCGAATAATCGTCTAACGAGATTTCGGCACGTGCGTAGGAACTTGGGTCGAACGGACCGTATAAACCGCGAGAGCCCATGGTCTTTCAGTGTAATCGTGACTAACCTGCTTCAGGAGGGAATTTTTTTATTCCGAACGAGAGAAAGAGAGAAACATATTCATTCGTATCACGAATAAATTCTGTCAATTACAAATAATTCTATTACATATTTATCGGTGCTATTCCCAATTTCTCAACTTATATATAATTTAACTTTTTACATATAATCAAACATATATAATTAAAAAAAATTGATTATGTTAAATTGATCATAGATGAATTAATAAAGTTTCATTTGTAGAGTATATGTTAATTAAATGACATTAAGTATAAAGTGGTGGAAATTAGTAAGCTTGCTTGGTATATTAAAAATATGTGTTTATCTAAATTTTGAAACCGAATCAGATTTCGCGAGTCAAAAATTTCTCGAGAGAGCTCAATATTGAAATAATAAACTCACTTGTCGTAAGGTTTAATGCCCGCGAAATGAGCGAATGAATTTGCAGTCCGAGTCATATGGAGGGTGCTCTGACATACCGAAGGCAATATATGCCACGAAGAACGACGATCATAATGTCTCGTTCCAGAAGTACATTGGCTCCGACACCGGGAGCACAATCGCTGTAACGAAATGAAGGTGCAAAGAATATCTGAAAGATGATCTCACATTTGTATTACTTTATTATATTTACGACTTGACATTACAACTACAATCGGCATTTAAATTCTTAATGCCCAGCTATTGTATTTCTTTGCTGAATAATCTGATATGAACCATTTGTGCGTGGTAACGTTTACTTGTTTTGGAACAATCATCACTTTGTCAGCGAATAACTCGGAGATGTCGAGCTGTTTCTGCTTTTCCATCACCAGCGGATGTTTTTTCACCACAACCAACCCATATGGGGGAAGGAAAATTCTCTGTTTGAATTGTGGGGATCCGCGTTGGTATATATCGCTGTTGTGTGATGAATTTGTGATTTCTAGCCTACGTAAACATACTATTCTGAAAGTGAAATTATTTGTGAGGCTGAAATGAGATTTTGACTCTTGAAATATATTCGCCGATAGTTTTCTATTATTTACCGTAGTTTGGAGAAAGAAAAGAAGAATTTTCAAAGGTTTGGTAGCTTTAAAAGCTTTGTGAGTGTAAAGGCGATGTGCGCCTATCGTGACCTCTGGTCGGAGAAAACTCCAAGACCACTGAAAAATTAATGATTGTTATAAATCTTTGACCATAAAAAGCATGAGTAATTTTATAAGATAACTGTGCAACTTTTGTGAAAATTGATCGTATGAAAATTTTCTTCTCGGAAACATTTCGTAAAAGAAAAATTAATTACATTTTTTTAGTATGTAACACGCGAACACATTTTAATTTAATCCATATAAAAATTCATTCTTCGCAAAGGTTCGCGATCTTTCTTCCTTATTATTTATAATTCCCATATCAATCTGAAATTACGGGGAGTAACTTTGTGTTTTTCAATTTTTAATCATTTCCTACCTTTGCTTACATCATTACATTCCATTTGCATCTCATTTGAAGTCATTCGTCTCTATTATTATTATTTTTTATCCTCATATGTGCAAGATAAAAAAAAACATATAAATAGATAGATCGGTGCGCAAAAATCGCGCGATACCAATTGCTCCAAGCTGCTGGTACCCAATTAGCTAAAAAAAAAAAAAAACATCCGCGACAGAGGAGCGAGGTGGAAAATAATCGAGTCTGTTTTTCACGTAACGCGAAGGACCGGTTGCTCTCGACGAGGCAAGAATCATTCGTGCATTTACGATCGGAGCGTACGCGGAGCATCTGTTCGTTAACCACCTGTCGACAGGTGCAAACCGTACACCCGGCTCCGTTACCCCGCGCCACGGCCGGGCTATCAATCGGCCCTTTTGTTTTCGCCGATCTGGCTCCTCGAAGCCATTCCCGTTTTACTACGACGTAGTACGCGACGCGACACGCGACACCCTTCGCCGGATGTTATCGGCTGGCTCGGAGCGAGCGCGCGCGCGCGCAGTGTGGTCTTCTCCCTCTTTCTCCTTTTCTCCCTCTGACCATGTAAAACCCCTTAAGCTCGTGGGTCACGTAAACAGGAAGTCCCCGTTCTCCTCTTCCCACCCGCTTTTGCAGGTTGGCGAATAATGCGTAGGAGGCACCTGCGGTGAATGCGATCTCTTCTCGGCGATTTATCGTGAGGATTCACGATCCTCGACGACAATTCTCTATTGGATTTTGATACGCTTTTTATTGCCGTCGTCGGGCTTCGCTTTTAAGCGTGAAAATCAATCCCGACGATACGCGACCATCATTTTTGAACAATCACGAGATGAAACGCGAGGTACCTCTGGAGAATAATTTGTTTTGTTTTGTTTGATGTTACAGGCCGCGATACTTCAACAGACTGCCGAATACATATACCAATTGGAGCAGGAGAAGACACAATTGCTGTCGCAAAACTGTCAACTGAAGCGATTGGTAAATCAACACGAAGGTGGCGATGTACCTAAGAAACGCAAATCCGAAACCCAAGGTAAGAAACTCTACGTCATCTTTTAATTAATTGCTCGATGTGAATTAATGTAAATTAACGTAACTTGTTTTTCTCCTGTTTTTACGAATTAAAAGAAATTAGGGCATATTCTGCAGAGAAATTCTCTTAAAAAAAGTCGCGATGAAATATATCGCGAAATATCGAAACATACATCACGTGAAAATATATAACGATAGTATAAAAAAAATATTATTGCGATCGTTGCTTGCGCGCAAACATTTGTACACGTAAAAGCAATGGAATTAACGTTCATCGCATAACGAGATTTTCCAAATGGGCTTGAATTATTTATCGCCCGTGCGACCGCGATTCCACTGTCCCGGTGTGGATTTAGGATCATAAAAACAAAAAGCGGAAACAATCGGAGCAATGCGCGAAAAGTCGCGGAAATATACATTGCGATCCGCTTATTTCACGGTTTACCCGCGTTTATAACGCGCAAACGTTGAACCATAAGTTATTTTTCAATCGCGAAATTGAATTGTTGAGTCTCGGAAACTCTCTCTCTCTCTCTCTCGTCCCCCCAAGTAAATAACATCGCGCGTTCGATTTCGAACATAACTTTATAGATTTATTTACTTGGACGATGAATTCGATCGCGTCGCCACAACACGTATAAAAAAAATCGACAATCCCCCTTTTATTTATTTATATAAAATTATTAAATCAATACGCGCGAGACTTGTGCCATATTTGGCACGGGCAGGAATGACAAATTTTGCAAGCAAGAATTTTTTAATCACTCTCATGTTGACGACAACGATCAATGCAAACGCATTTGTGGAGAGACGTTCGTCATTTTCACCCCAAAGTAATTACATTCTTCGCGACTGTAGTATCACGCCGAAAAGATATATGTATAGACTATATTTCAAGGGAAGTTCAATATATAATATCGAGATGATAACATTGGTGGTATTATTGCCGGTAAAACTTTTGTGAAATTTAATTTATTTTGCCGTGAAACTTCATTCATCTATTAAATTATTATAAAAGGAGAATCATTTCTTTTGACGTGTTTTATTTTATTCTCAAAAAATAATAGGAGTAACAGGAATCCAAATAATTAAATTAAGACTTCGAAGTAATATTGAAACTTTTGTCTTTGCTATACATTTTATAATTGACAATTAATCTGTAATATATCATTGAATAAAAAAAGTACTACAAGATTATGTCGCCGGAAAATGAAGCTCTCGGATTGTATGTACAATATCGGATTCGGTGGAACGAGACGAGGTGGACAACAATGACAAGAATTGTCCTCGGCCATGGTCGTCCTTGTCGTTATTACTTTGGCTAAATACAAGTTTGATGGATTAAAGTGGCTCTCCTTTTCTGACATCGATAGCGTTTCGGTGACGTCGCGTCGTGGTCGCCGGAAAGTATCTGTCGCGAACTTCGACCGAGACAATTTCAATTTCTGATTCTATCGTAAATTAGTTTCCTTCGTCGATGGCACGCCGATATTCAGAAAGTTCGTCGTCGGCTGTGCGACGAAGCGGATTTAATGCCGACGAGCCACTTTTATCGATCAACCGCGGTTATCCTCCCGATTGCCTCCAAATATTAGTCTCGACATTTACAATCATTATCCGATAGTGGAGTAACGTTTCGCAAATTCAATTTATAAAGGAGAAGCTAATTCGAGAATCGATCTTCGAGTTAATAATTAAACGAATCTTTTACGGATATTTTTAATATATATATTATAGCGTGTAAAACGTGTGGCGTAAAATGAAATCATTTTTCAGCTACGCAGAGAGATGTTTGAAAAGAAAGAATACATACATACATATATATATATATATTAATATACATTTTATATTTTAAATATGAATCATTAGATTTATACACAATATCGAGATTAAATGAATATAATAACACGAGAGATAATATTGGAAAGCATGATATACGAGTATTTCTGGCTAAACTACGTTTAACGACGTGAGCGATTTAACATTACACTTTTATTTTAAATCTATATTTGACTTGAAAAATGAAAAATGAACGAATAAAACCATCTCATTGACGCAGCAATAGTCGATAATCTCAATTATCGTTGCCGTAGAAATTACGCGGCACGAACGTTAATTAATAAATGTTCGGTTGATGGAAAGTATTTGTTAGAAGGGTTTATACAGCCACACACTCATTCGCATACATATATATATATATATATATATATATATACACACACACGCACACAATCCGCTACGTTATCGTGTTATAATTTGCTATAATTTGACGTTTCATGACGTTAAACAATGGGCAAATGAAGTACCATACAAAAGTACGTAAAGTTATATTCACTTCGCTTTAATATAACGTCGAAACAAATGAACTGGCCTTTGATCCGAGCGAGATGTAATGGGGGGAAAGGGTCTCTATATTTGTTCTATATCGTAAACAGTGACCAGATTTAATTTCGCTCATGGTCTCGCGATTCCGTTTATATCGCATGTGTATATTCGCATGGAAGAGCGCACACATCGGAAATCTGAATTCGTTCCGAAAGTTTATTGCGGTTATTCGCCAACGATCTGTAATCCGAAAATTCGTGAAACTTCCTGAAAATTAATCTATCATTTTTATTCCGCAAAATAATTTTTTTTTACATACAGTATTCCATTTAGATACGCACCTCTCTGATTTGAAAGGGACAGAAATTTATATAAATAAGAAATAATCTCGCTATTCAAACTTTAGCAGTTCTCTCAATCGAATTTCCGCTGTTATTTAATATCTATTAAATAATATTTTTTCCCATTTTTTTCATTCCCTTTTTTCTGTTCAGGCGTCGTCGTTAGTCTACCTATGCACGTCAGCGAGAGCGGCGACGAGGGCTTGGGCAGCATGTCCCCCGAGCCATTGTCTGTAATCACAGTGACCACAGAGGGACATTCCGTTGTGAACAGCGAGGTGGTGGAGCTTAGACGACAGCTAGAAAGGGAACGTCACGCGAGACTGCATTTAGAGAAACAGATGAGATCCATACAGGGCCAGTTGTATCCAGAGAGATTCCGGGACAATCAGCTAATCGCTTATCAACCCCACGAGGTAACTATCCTATTCTCCGTATAATTGTTTCCATCAATCCATTGAGGAGATTCTTCAGTGAAAAGTCTCACAATATGTGTTATGTAAAAGTAAATTAAGTTAGAAAATTTAAAAGAAAAGAAAAATAAAGATTCAATTATGCGCGACAGACTGGGACGGACGACACGAAATTTTGCAAACGAAATTACACGGCTATAAAAAAGAAGAAAAGAATGTAATAAAAACACGATATGCTGGTCTTAACTGAAATGTCACAATCTATATGGAAACATGTTTAAACGGTTGCCGAGAGATTACCATCTGCGCGATGTAGAATATAATTCAACCGTGAATTCTCGTTTGACCCTCGAGGCTTTAAATGTTCCCAGGCGAAAAATATTGCAAACATTGTTTTAATTGCTTGAATAGAGATCGTTGCTTCTGATAACAGCCGATGCGTCGTGTACTGCTGTTATTTTTATCAAATCGATTTCTCTTTTTTTTCCCCTTTAATGGCGTTTTGCAAATCAATCGACATTACCTCCGCACTGAACAAACAAGTCGCCAAAACACAAGTTTTGCGAATACGATAATAATTAATGTAACTCGCTTCTGATACAGGTGATCGAGCACACGGACAATGTGATGGCGCAGGAAACGGAAGACGCGGTGGCCGCGTTGCAGGTAGTCTCGGTCATGTCTCTGCCACCGGTGGGTTCCACTCAAACTGTGGAGACCTCAAGTCCGGACCCGAGCTCGCCGCCGTTGTCGCCGCAGCCGGCCGACATGGAGATAAAGTCGGATGAGATAAAGGAGGAATCGTGTCCAGGTAGTCCGAAGATCGTCACCTTCGCCCAGAATCAAGTGTTCACGGCGATGGAAGAGCAGACTACCGCGGATTCCTTCTCGTCGTCAAGTCGTGTTACGTATGCCACGTCATCCTCCGCGGATTTCAAGAATACCTCGCCTCAGTACATCAACGCGAGTCCCAGCAGACCCTTCTCGCCGGTCGCTGAGCCTCAACGACTACCTAGCGTTTTGGAGGCTGCGATAAAGGCCGAGCCCAAAGTCGAGGTGGAGAGGTACGTATATCATGTTTATTTTGCCGTAAATCTGTGACAGTTGTTTTGATTCTGATTGTTATTTGAGACAGAGTGGATCTACAAGTGGTCGCTAACGAGAGATTTCTCGATTACAGGTTGCCTTCTCCGTCGAACTCTTTGGACGACGGCGGCATGCCGCAAGCGAGGCTGTACATCGCGAACACATCCCGGCAAAATCTAGAAACGATCGTCGAGGCGATACGTCATCTGGAGGGCGACCATCTGTTCAGCGACGAACAGGATGTTCCATTGGCATTGACCAATAAGCAGCAAACGACGATGGCGAACTCAGCGTCGACAAAGTCCACGACGTCTTCGACATCTTCCTCCTCATCGGTGGCGACGTCCGCCACTGCGACATCAGCGAAGCAACGGATATTGCATGCCGAACACTTCCTCCAGTTTCACACGCAACAGCAAACCCAACAACGACCCGGAGTGATCGTGGTGAAACAACAGTCGTGATCCAGCAACGCGCTGCGCTCCGTGCATTGAACGATGTACTCGAAACGATGATGCGTTCGTCCCCATCGCTCGACATCACCGCGATTTATCGCTCGAAAATGAGGAATCCTTTTTGGTCGATCCGAGAAAGAAAGAGAAGAAAGCGATCGTTCGCAGAGGCAGGGAGAGAGAGAGAGCGACTATGATCGCGATCGCACATCGCGTGCATTCTCTTCCGACACGACGGAAAAAATACTCTCCGTCCGCCGTTAATCTCCAATCGTTACCGGAGATCTTTATTCAGACTATTATATACTGCGAGATACACTTTATGTATGTTCCTACTACGTGCTTCGCTTGTCTTCGTTTTAAAGGTCACTTAAGTTGGAATGCATACGATCGCGATAGAATGAAATTTAGATAGAGGGGAATAAAGTTTTAAATTACAGACATAGCGAGACAGAGAGCGAAGACAGAGCCAAGCTCGAAGCTTGACAAAAAGGATTCTCATCGTCGAGTCGTTGAAACAAAACGTCGTTTTCCCATTTTTTTCTCATGTAAATACTAACTTCCGATCGTGTGTTTCCGACGATCGCCACGAGATCGCTTTGAATCTCGAAGGGTTTCCCGCTCCCTCCCTCCCTCCCTCCCTCCTTCCTCCCAAAGAAAGGTTCCCTTCGCAAAAAAATTGCGAGATGCGAAGTGGACGTTTCTCGTCCTTGATTTACTAAGTAGTATGTTTTTAGATTTAAGTAAGAACTACGTCGATAATATTCCTAGGCGAGTAAGTCTACGTACACTGTATAATACATATATACATATATTACACACAAATATATTATTTGTAAAGAGTATAAAAAATACATATTTACGTTCTTTTTTTATATTGTTACGAAAATGAAAAAAATACAAGACGACGATGTGAAGAAAGAGATATTAAGATATAATGACGCGTATATATGTTCTTTCGATGCTTATTACGGAGTTACACATACCCTCAATCAGGGCGCGCGAAAGTGCTAGGAGAAAATGGACTATAAAAAAACAACAAGGTTTAATCAAAATACATCTACACTCAACGTTTGATATTTGACACACATGTTAGAGAACGGAACCCTAGTACGATTGATCGGGCCTCGATACCGCTGTCTCGCGTACGGGTTTGCGTAACTCCTGTCTACTATGTTTCTCGCGTGTTAAAAACATGTGTCGCGGGTTGAAGAAAAATTCCGTTTAATCTGTGCCAAATATATCCAGAGAGTACCCAAACGTTTTGTTCCTTCATAGTAGACGTAATATTATGCATAAAGCGAAGACGCCGGTCGGTACATCTGGTAGACCGAAAGCAAAGCGAGTCCACGATCGCTCGTCTCCTCCAACTTACTCGTCAATGCGATAACGACGACCGGGGATCTTGATAAAGTGGTGACTTTCCCGACCGTTTCTTCCCATTGCGTCGCAGACCACCTTTTATTCGTTCAACAATCAATGTTGATCGACGCTAATAGTCGCAAGGACCGAGGAGAAACCGGGACGAGTAACAATGCCTTCCCTAAGCATTGAGCGACGTCCTGCCGGATTCTCTTTGCTATGAAACTTAACCCTGCCGCATACGATATATTGCATACGAGTTTTTTCTACGCAACATACGGATTTCATATAGCTTGCGAATACGAGACTAAGAGGCTTGGAATTTACAATTTCTCGTGCCTTTCGAGGAGAGGAGCGATCGGTTTTACAGGGAGGGTCGAACGATCGATCGACCGGCGCTGAGAGAAAAATCATTTAAGTTTTGTTTTTTTTCTTTTTTCTTACTTTCATTCATTTATTCATTCATTCATTCATACGCGTCTATTGTGTATTATGTGCGTTGATTTTTTTGCGTTATTTTTCTTTGTGCGTGTACCGTTTCATCGAGTGTTTGTCGATTGTGCAAGCGTTATCGCTCGCGAGTAGTAGGCTCATAGACCAATTTTTAATCGATTACATTATAGTACGGATCCTTTCGCCCGTAATTTACTATTATTACTGCTACTATTACTATTACTACTACTATTACTACTTTCTTTTCTACGATGAGAATGAATAATAATGTACGAGCGCGACGTAAGCTTAAGAGTTTAATGCATAAAGGTATATATGCCTACGAGAAATTAATTTTAGGTACTCTTTAAATATATATATATATATTTAAATATATATATATATATAAATAAGTAAGTTTAGTGTACCTCTCCAAACGAGGTAAAACGCGGCAGTAAGACAGAATTACAATTAAGACCTTTAGTTAATCTTATAGCAGTTAGGATAAACGTAGGAATTGTTTAGCCGAGTACGCAATTTGAAATACATCCAGGTTATTGTCTATCTACGATAAATGTGACGCTACTCCGTAATTGTATTGCGTGTATATAATACCTTTTAGCGGATATCATCGCATAACACACACCTAGCTGACGTACCACGATGCTGAAATAGGATAATGTCGTAAAAATGCGCCCTTCGTACCTTTCGTCGTCATTCAATTCAAATCTCATTTCGATAGCATATTTTTTTACGTACCATTGACGTTTTTGTTTGTTCTTTTTTCTTTTTTTAAAGAGTATGTACATAGATGTAAGGACTATATTAATTATCTGGACTAGAGAAAAAGGATATGTTTAACGGAACAATTACTCCCGAAACGTACGAGAGGTGCCCTGTGTAGTTACGATTCTATCTTAGGCTTTCGACATTCGCGATGAAAGTGTGATCCCGCGTTTCCAAAGTCGCGGATCTCGAAGGTAATGTACAAAGCTCGATGTCGACGTTCATGCGAGGACGCACGAGGGCCTAAAAAACGAATAGAGAAATTCACCTTCGTTTCCGTCTTTCGTATTTTCCCCCCTGAATGAATCGTAAAAGATTCACGGCAGATTCATTATTTTCACGAGATAAGAGATTCGTTAACAGAACAGTCGTCTTCTGCATTATCGCGCTATATCCCTCGGTGATCGAGTGTATGTAAAAGTACCGAGTGTAACGCGATGCTGTTTATCAATTAGGTTCGACAATTAAAACTGTCGAATCAATCGAGAAAAATCGCCGGGAAGATTTTCGAAGATGCGAAAAAAGATATATATGTCGTTGAGTTTGATGTAAATTGAATTTTTCCCACACGCGAGTCCGATGTACATGTCTCGTTTTCCCGTTATTATATATGTCTGATTTTAATTGTTTCGAAAATCTCGTGCGAATATCTTCGGCGCTTCCATGATACTTACACATACACGTTACACGTGCACACATACACACACACACATACATATATACAGATATATTCACGTGCGTAGCTATATGCGCACGTATAAAGTATACGAAAATGCTGTACGAGTGTACGCCGTACGCATTTAAGGAACCTATTGGTGATTCTCGAATTTTTCGCGATTGATTTTTTCTTTCTTCTTTAATTGTTTTGTTTCGCGGCACGTTTCTATATTTTATGTTGCACGTCGCCCTTGGTATTAGCGTGCCGCTTTCGGTGGGTGGCAAAATAGAGAGAGGACCGAATTGCAGAAGGTTCGGAACGTCACTGCGCACGTGTCAGCGTGAACTAGATCGACGATATCATTACGATGACGATTTCATTACGATGACTGTAATATTTATATGTATTTCAAATGTCTTTTTTTAAATTCAAAATTAAACTGTTGATTGAAATCGAACGAATTCTCCATTTGTTTTTCGAATTAGTACTCAAGATTACGTGATATACATACTGATACATTATTTTTCGTGATCACGAAACAGATAATGATTGCGTGAATATAAAAGTTTTAAATTTCGCGGAGATAATGCAAAGCTATTCTCTTTAAGTCATTTAAAAAATCATAAGATTTTGTGTTATGTATTTGTTATATATTATATTTTATGTTATATATATACATATACTATATGTGTTTTTGTAAGTCTAATATTTTCGGGATAATATAAGTCTATTACACTGATGATAAAAAAATAATCACACAATTATGTATTTAAAGTTTTACATTAGATATTAGATATATTAGATATTAGAGATATTTTTTTAATGCAAATCTCTTGCATTCACATTAAAAATGGCACTTAATGTTATTGAATTATTCATACTATCTGTGATATATCTATTTTGCAACTATTGACACCTCACTAACTTGAACGTGTTTTATTTTATATATTTCTTTAATATTTTGTTAATTGTTCGCACTTTATACACTTATTGAAAGCTTTGTATTTATTAAAGGTGGTACTCGATCACGCATGAAATACGCTCGATTATTTATATATAATTTACTCATATAAGATTTAATTACAAATGAGCATTTATAGTTCGGTTTTACTTCACGTTCAATTTGCGAATATTATCGGTATGAATGGTATACGTTATTTGTCAAAAGCATACTTTAAAATGTCATAACTTGTGAAATGCTGCGTAATTTTCTTTTCGACACGATGATGTTTAGGCTCATACAGACAATTGCTACTGTTTAATTGAGATTTCGTTCGATTTCTATGCATAATCGGATTCTTATATGAAAGCCCTTGCATGTGGCATAATAATTGTGTCATGCAAAATCGTATTAATGAAAAGATTAATACCAGTCTCAATTTTTTGACTTGCTGTCTTTAATTTTAATGAACTAAAATTAAAGAGAATGAAATTTTTTTAAATAATTGTAGATAAAATGTCATTTTTATTTATATACATTTTTTCCAATTTTAGAAAAATATGCAACTTTTACAATTTGTATTACAAAACTTTAATAAGATTTTAATTTTTTTAATCAATTGCCACATGCATTATGGTGTATGAGAAATGTTTAGAAATCGTTCATAAAAGTTTCAGATATCGTCAACTCGTTTGCGCGAATTTCAAGGGTGATGACTTTCGAAACGTTAATATTCGAGCGGCGATTTATTCGCGAGGATAGAATGCAACATACAGGGAAATCACGTAAAAACGAAATTTATATAGTTAACGATTAAGATTCAGCCGCTCGAAGATTACACGTTCTTTAAAAAAAAATAAAAATAAAAAAATAAAAAAAGAAAGAGAGAGCTGTCATCGACCCTGCCGCGGTGACACTCGATCGAAACGATCTTTTTTATCGTTGAATATATACATATAAAGTATAAAAAAATATATATATATACGTACAAACACACAACTATAACTTCTCTACAGCTTCGTTGAAGGGCAGAAAAAAAGAATGACAGTTCGCAGGATACGATTTAGCTGCTAATGAAAGTCGCTGATAGAGTAACGTAATCACATTTGAGGGTATGGTAGAGAATACGTGCGAAGAAGGGAAAAATTAGGGGAACAGCCGAATATTTCCGAGATTGCGAGCGAGAGCGTGGCTGTGCGAATCGCGCGTGCGATCACGAGAACGACGAAGAAATTTTTACCGTTTAAGATTAAATCCGATTTGTACACGTCAAATGGCAAATGGCGACTGAGAGTGGCGCCTAGATTAATCAATCGACCGCCTCTGAAGGAGAGATGATTGCAAATCGTGTTTGTTGTTAAGGGTCAGCGCCTTTGTTCGGAATGCGCGAGCCCTTCTCTCTCCGGAGACTGGAAGGGAAACTCAAACAATACGAAAGAGTTTAAAAGACTTTGAGAACAAGATTAAAACGGTTTTTCGGATACCTTTAAATATCAGAAAGATTGAAATGTTCTTTAAGCTTCTTCGAACATTTGCATAAAAGAATGTCTTTTATACATCTTCGAATATTGTTTGCGTTATCCCAAAGATGAACACTCGTCTATGTCATGTCTGTTTACTTTGTGGAGCGCGGTGCACCGAAATTCGGCGACGTGGATGTTTCG